ATGCCGACCAACTGTAATTCAAGTCGGGTCGCTTTTATTTTTAACGGGTGGGTCATTCTAGTACTAAGCTGCTTGATCCATTTTGACACCACTAATTAATATTCATACTCAAATAATTGAGTTTCAAATTTCCCTTATTTATAAGAGTGTTTGGTAGAGAGTTTCTTTTATCCATACACTAACTTCCCTTGTTTATAAGAGGAAAGTCTATTTTATACAAGTCCCAAAATTGGTCCAAAGCGAGTTGGTACTTCCTCGTATATAAACCTCAAACTAGTACTTATGTCTACTGCAATGAGAGACGCAAATAGAGAAATGGCTAGACTTGCCATTTTCATCTTCCTTATTACAACAGCAACAATGCCATGGTCTCTAGCTCAAACTAATGATCATGTTACATGGGCCAAGAGAGTTGAAACAGGTAAGAAAAAAGATTGAAGTACAGGCAATAAGCTTCACAGGAATTCAAATTTGTGAGTATTGGGACATGGCCCCCACATGATTAAAAAATGGCCAAAACTCTTCCCACCCACCCCCATTGTGTCTTCCCTGGCAGGTACAGGAATTTTGAATTCCTGTACCTGTAGCAAGGCTCATCAGGTAAAGAGGTAATAAGCACACTTACAATTCTATTTCCACGACATTTTACTGAAAGAAACCCTAGTGCAATAAGGATTGTCCAACCTCCACAAACCAACAATTATTCGACACTTTTTGGCCTGTTGATTATGATCGATGATCTATTGACGGTGGGGCCCGATCCTTCGTCGAAGATTGTGGGCTGGGCAAGGGAAAAGTACGATTCCGCAGGGCAGACTGACTTGGGCCTCACCACACCAAAAAAAATCTTTTGCAGCTGTCAAAAAACGCTGCGATAGACCTTTTGTAGCATTTTAGCTTGTGTTGCGAGGGTCAGTGTTGCTATTGAGGGAAGACTTTTTGCATCATTTATTCACCGTTGCGAAAAACTTTTTGGCAACGTTTATTCATCGTTGCAGTAAACCATTTTGCAGCGTTTTTTAAAACGTTGGGGTAGACCATTTTGTAGCGTTTTTTCAACGTTGCCGTAAACCTTTTTTTTTT